GGTTGCAAGCTACAGCCTGTGGGCCAAATCCAGCCTACTGCCTGTGAGCTAAGAATGGTTTTACGTTTCTAAATGACTTTTTCTCTTTTTTAAAAAGGAGACTATTTCATGACGCGTAAAAATTCTATTAAATCCACATTTCAATGTCCACAGATAAGTTTTATTAGAACTGGCCATGCCTGATTGTTTAGGCATTGTCTAGGGCTGCTTTGAAGCTTCAAGGGCAGAGCTGAGCAGCTGAGACAGACGGCGTGGGACCCACACAGCTGAGTTACTGACCGTCTAGGTCTTCCCAGACAAGGTTTACTAGCCTTTGGTCTAGCTCCATCCGAAGTCAAGGGAAGGTTCTTAGTAACTGTCCTTATCCTTCCTAGTCTTTCCCCCAGTGCAGTGGCTCTTACGGGGCAGGTGTTCACCACCTCCCCCCCGCCCCTTCAGGGGACATTTGGAGTCGACATGAGTGGAGGGGAAGGCACTACCGGCATCTAGTGGGTAAAGGCCAGGGACGCGAACACCCTATGGCACGCAGGACGGCCCCCTGCCTGTACACACACAACAAAGAGCGACCCAGCCCCACTGGCGACAGTGCCGACGTCGAGAGGCCCTTCCGGAAAGCCCAGAATGAGTTACGAGAAAGGAAAGAGGCGGACACTCAGTGTGCCGAGCGTGCTGGGTCAGGCAGCAAGGGACACGTTCACACCTCGCTTGTAGATAAGGAAACAGAGGCTCAGCCAGGGCTAGTCACTGGTCCATCATGATACGGCAACAGAGGAGCCGGAATCCATTGTCCCTCCTCTGCTTGCTCTCTGTCTCTCTCCCTCTCAAAAATGAATAAAGATCAAAGAGAGAGAGAGAGAGAGAGAGAGAGAGAGAGAGAGAGAGAGAAGGTATAATTCAAGCTGGGGTTTCAGGTGTCAGGGACACAGCATATACCAAGGATGGCACATTTAGGCAGCAGGCTGCCCTGCCCGGATGACCTCGATGGCTGGGAGGTACAGCGGGGCCTTTGGCATCGGGACAGCCCCGCCTATAAGGCATCTTGGGCATCATCAAGAAACCTGGATTTGGAGTCAGAGATCATGGGGAGCTTCTGAAGGGGCTGGGAAGCAGGAAAGTGACAGGCTAGCTCTGTGTCTTAGACAAATCACTCTGCTTGCATTATGTATGTCTGTAGCAATAAAGGACTAATAAGCCATGGTGGGGAAGGGGCATGTGTTAGACATATTGGGCCAGGGGACTCGACAGATGTCTCCAACCTCATGATCTGAGGGGGGCGGGGGGAAGGGGATGACAATGTTATCCTCTAGGGGCTATTAAATAAAATAGAGAAGATTGACAGGGGCTGTGTCCACTTTGGGGCACAGCGCAGTTAAAATAATTGGGAACTTTCAACTGGAGGCTCCTGGAATCCACTGGATGTCAGGCCCAAATCTCAGAAGTGAAGGCAAGGGGAGTGATGTGGGTTTTAAGTCCGTATATGTTAGAGAATACGTACTGGGGTCATCATGTGAAATGTTTTCGGCGGGGCACTTCCCACACAGCAGGAGTTGAGGGGCGGTGGCTAACGTCACTAGAGTCATTCCTGTGAACAGCCCCCCACGCCGCTCTAGGCGGACAGTGAGGCCACAGAAGTGAACGGCACAGCCAGCGGGAGCCCTCAGTCAGAAGAAAGTCAGCGGAAACCAACCGTTAAAGGACAAAGCCAAAAAGAGGAATGAAAAGCAAGAATTAAAGACATATGGGGAGAAACAAGAGAGAACAGGGTCTTGGGAGCCAAAGGAAAGTGAGAATTTCAAAGGAGGGTGAATCACTGTCAAGATAAGTAAGACACAGAGTGAAAGGAAGGGCTGGCTTTGGAAGTTGGGAGGCCACCTATGACCTTGGCAAGAACCGTGGTTGTGAGGAAGTGCTGGGAGGGGGGGCTGCTACTGGGGTGGGGGGTGGGAATGCGGGGGGTGGGGTGAACACCCTGCCCCCCACCCACGTGAGGAGAAGTCTCCCCAGGAGGGCTGACACAGATGGTTATTTGAAGGAGAAGCAAGGCTCCTTTCAATGTATGGAGCGGAATCTACTTCTGCCGTTTTAATTAGTTGCCATTTGATATTTGATATTTGAGACCCACAATATGCAAAGGGAAGCTTCGGTTGCACGTTCTAATCTGCTTGCCTTTCTATTTTCCATTCCACACACTATTTCCATACATTCGTTCTCATGTGAGCAGGCTGGTGGTTGGACATTTCCTGGAGCATTCAAAGGCTGGGCTCAACGCAGGTCATCTCCCGATCTGTCACATCTTGACATGCCTTCCCCGGGCTTCCTTTTTTCTTTCAAGACATGAAATTGGAGACGGGTCCCTAAAACACTTTGTACTTGTAGTATCACCTTCCATTGGTGTAGCGGGTTTTAGTTCCCCATGGGATTTTACAGCCATTGTTTCATCACGCTCATTCCTGTAACAGCCCTGAGACGGAGGGAAAGCAGACAGGCTTATCCTCATGTTATAGACCAAAATAACAGCGAGCAGACAAATAAAATGCCAGAAGCTCTCCAACGCGGGCAAGGTCACGTTCTTTCCCAGCCTCGTCTCTGTCAAGTAAATTATCAGTGGCAATGATGGCTTGGTGCTTCATTTGAAAAGGACCTAATAATATCCCATCCAGATATATTTCAATCACAGCGGGGAGAAGGAGGTGTGGAATGTAACAGTACTTCTGCCTAAATCAGCTCAGTCGGGTTGACCAGCACTCCAGCGCTTTCCAACAGTGCAAGGGTTCTAATCTTGTGTGCTCATGAGAATCCCCTAGGAGCACTTTATAAAAGGGAAGATGCCTGGGCCTTCCCCAAACTAAGCACACTCTCAGGAAAGACACTGGCTGAACAGAAAGATACAGGAGAGCAAAGAATAAAAGAGCAGGGCAGAAAAGCAAGAATCTAAACCCACAACTCCATATTCTCAGGTACGGCAGGCAGAGTTGTGTGGCAAAAATATTCATGAATGTAAGTTTTGCATACCTGAGGATATACTCTGTTAATGTGAAATGAAATGAGAATGAAAATGTCTAACATGAAGATGTGGGCAACCTGATGACAAGGAAAGACACACACATACACACCATTAGTCAGAATCCCTATTCTCCCAACAGGTACACGCATCTCCCTCGTGGAGAATTATGGCACGCGTGTACGAGCGTGTCGTAGGCGCCCTTTCTCATGCAGGCCCTTAGCGGTTAACTACCACACACGGGCACACATCGTAATGACAGAGCCATAAGGCTGATTTCACGAGTCCCGTGGCATTATGACAAAATGCGGTCCCCCAAATCTCTTAAGCCCCTATTCCCTTAAATAATGTCGGTAAGGCGGAGTCCTTTGAGTGTCCTACGCATGTGTCTACCACCTGCATGGTTCTAATCTGGAGGTACAATTGCAGAGGAGCTGAGACAGTCATCAAATAATAATGGTTTTCTCCGTTTTCTCTAAAGCTGGTGCGGGTGCCCCATAGTCATCGGGTCGTAAGCTTGGCCAGAAGCAGAAGACGCGCCGCCGTGCCTCGGGATGTCCGCCAGACGGCTGGCTGGCAGGAAGGATGAAGCTGGAGGTCAGAAACCAGACCCCACCTGAACTGGTCCATTCCAGTGGCGTGCCAAGAACACTCATCAGGTTTGGCTCTGATACGCACCCCAGGTAGGGTTGCCAGACAAGGGGCAGGGCACCAGTTAAACGTGTATCTCAATAAACAACAATACCCCAAATACTGCATGGGACAGATTGAAAAAAAAATTCTCTGTTTATCTGAAGTCCAAGTTTACGGGGATATTCTCTACTTTTATTTGCTACATTTGGCAACCCCCACCCCCCAATCAGGGAAAGCTTCCATAAGGGCTTCCACGCCCCAAGAAACTTTAGATGGTTCCATATTTTTGTATTATTAATTAGCACCTATAAATATTTTAAAGGCATACTTTCTGGTATAGTATGCTTCTCTTTTCTGCATCTATCATAACATCTCTAATTTTTCAGATTAATGACACAGTGAAATATTCTTTAACGTCTTAAGTTTTTCTTCCAGGAAACACCATCAATACCACCGCAAGTGACTTACCCGTTGCCTGTTAAATTTGCAACAGTTTCCATGAAACAGAAAAATCCAAAAGAGTAGATTTGGCATCTGGATCCTTTAACCAAACCTCCTACCTTTCCGATTGCTCACTTTCAACCAAAAGCTTCTTTAGAAAATAAATCAGTGATGTAAATCATATTATCATTACTCACATTAAGGGGGCCCACTGCAGCCCTTTCAGAAAGCCACAGAGGATTTTCACAATCTCAACTGTTCTTAAAAAAAAAAATCTGTTTTCTATTATGAAAAATAATCTAAAAATAGTTCCACATAACACAAGGACAAAGCCATCTGTGTGATCTCTCCAAAGAGCTCATATTTCTATAGATTTTTATCACTCTCCAACTGTTCCAACAAGTCCTGAAATTTAAGAAAGTCGCGTAGATTTGGCACCTAAAACTCATCGAAATATCAAACTTAATCGCTAATGGTTCAATTTTGTATTGTTCTTTTACATCATAGAAGGCTCAAATCAAATATGTATCAAAGTCAACAAAGCACAAAACTGCATTAAAACTCATTACAAACTTTTTAAAAAAGTCACATTAACATGTTTCTACCGATAATCGATAACATCAAAATGTTGATGAAATAGACATGAATACAGAAAAATACCCAGCCCTCGAGTAACACACACACAGAAACTGTACACCTGGACACGTTATCGCCTGTGTGTGTTTGAAAAGTAACTTTTAGCAGACGTAAACGACGCTGGGCCCCTCATCAAGACTGTCCCTCTACAAAATTTCACTCTGTAAGGATAAAGTCAACATTAAAACAAAGACAAAGCTTGGACCAAAGAAAATAAGGGCAGTTGACGTGATTTTCAAACTTCAGCCATCACACAGTCGAGAAAACGAGAAGACACAAGACAACTGACCTTTGAGTGGATGCTCTCCGTGGGGTCCCAGAGGGCTCCGTTCAAGACAGAGACCTGAACTATTTCGTAAGCTGCTCCCCGGCCCCTTCTTCCGGCCTGCTGGATGGAAGGTGCTGATTTGCTTCCTGGGTTCACCCCTGCGTCAGAAAGAAAACAGCCCCATTCTTCATTCTTGTCAGGAAGAGTTTGACATCAGAAACTCATGACATAAACAACTCCACAAAAATATCCAGAAGTTGAAGGAGACCAAAGAAACAGCATTCTCTATTAAGTCACGGTCAGTGTTGCAGGTGATGAATTCTCTGTCAATCTGACCAAACGACGTCGTGACTCAAACGAAAGCTCATTTTCCCCTCCAAGTCCTATGGCACGTGCTGGGTGATAATCAAAGTCAAAGTATATATAATTCTGTCCTTCCACAAGCAACCAAAACACAGCAAGTAGTGACTTTTTAAATGATGAATGAATGCTTTGCTTAAGACCAGCTCTCCATTAAACATCTCAAGGCTTTAGCTGTATTAAGACTAAAGCCATTTACTTAAGTCCCAGTGAATCAGCTCAACCCAATGCCGAGTCTCCTCTCTGTACTTACGGAGGCTAATTTTATATGCTTCAGTGAGTGATTCTATAGACAAAATTAATTTGCCAGTTCAGACTGACGAGACTGGTTTATGTAAAAAAAAAAAAATTAAGTCATTCAATAAACTATTATATGATCTTATTTCTTGGGGTCCTGTCGAACCAGTTAATGTCCCGACACAGGTTCAATTTAGCGCCATATCCATAAACAATCCTAATGGAAAGTATAACATTTTTTCTCTTCTGGAGTGTGTATCACTTTCTTAACAAGTACGGTAATTTCTCTGGGCTCACTCTCCGATGAGGTCACAATCCTGCTATGTGGTGCAACCACAGTCTATCCCTCACGGTAAAGGATGGGAGCAGATTCCCTCACATGTTATTCCCATTTCTTCAACCAGGACTCATAATTTTCAGACCTGAGTCATAATAGCACTGTTTTAAGTTACTAAGGAGTTCACATTTATTGGGCACAAATGGTATTGAAATTTTAATCCTAGACATTTTACAGTTCCCCAAATACTTTTAAATCCACACCATTTTATCATTCTCAATGTGGAAGCCTGCAGTTATATTCAGGTTACAAAAGGATTACTACTTGAGTATTAACTGTCTGACACAGCCGATCGGGAAGATTCTCAAGCTGCTCACAAGGCATTTAAAACTCCCACTGGTTGAGGGACCACAGGAACAGGGATGAGCCAAAAGTTGGGGAGATGGCCAGCGGCAGAGGAAGTGAGTGGGCCTGGTGGCCACAAGCAGTGTGTGGCGGGGAGAGGACCATGAGCCACGTGAACAAGAAGAGGAAATCATGTGGTGCTCAGGGCTGAGAGGAGCTGAGTTTTTGGGGATGAACCCGCATTCAAGTGATGAGGGTTCTGGCCATGCACCCAGAGGGGCCCACTCCAGGTGGTGACATCTGTGGATACTGGTGGAGGGCTGGATGGAAGTGGAAAGAATTGCTACCCAAAGGGAAGATTCCAGAATCCCTTCTCCTGACTGCAGAGGGGGCAGCCATTGGCAGCATAGAGACTGTGCATAAATGACCCTCGCCCACCAGCTTGATTTCATGCCTTTCGATGTACTCCCTGGCAGTGTCACGTCACTACAAGTAGGGGCTTGGGGATGAGACATACCCAAGCACCTGTACTGACCCTTCCATGTTATCAGCTGTGGGTCTCTGGTCCAGTTGTTTGCCCACTTGTTGGCTCGTTCACTCACTCGCTCATTCAACAACTGTTTAATCCCTGCCTACCTTCTGATGGGCACTCTGATGTCTCCCATTCAAAAAGCCCATTGTTTCTGATTTGGCCCAATATGCCCTAATGTCACCTAGAGTCAGTCCCTCTGCCTATCCTGGCGGGACCTTCATTTCATAAATGTAGCTTCACCCCGGAAGACTCAGTTCTCTATCCCGTGCATCTAAGAGAGGGACATGAATACGTGTTCTCGTATTGAAAGCAAGATGAACAGACAAGACCATTTCAGAGAGCAGGCAGGTCAAAGAAGGCACAGGGCTACAGGGGCTCTGTGTAATCCCTATGCCACTCCTGCAAATCTGCAATGGTTTCCAAATAGAAGGGAATAAGAAAACATGAGGTGATGGTAGAGCGGTGGGGAGGCCTACTCTTGATGGATAGGCCAGGAAAGATCGTTATTTGTTGGATGCATATAAGCCCAGCCGTGAAGATGAGAATATTCCAGGCCCACACAGAGCCATGGGAAGAACAAGTCCACAGAGGCACATCAAGTTCTCTCCCTTTCCATAAAATGAGGCAGAGCGTGGCGAGGCTAGAAGGAGAAAATACACGTGAAGCATAGAGAACGTCATCCACTGGTGACATCGACATCACTCTCTGAGCCTTGCCAGGACCCAGATCTCTTGCTCTGGACCCTCGGCGGGATTCCCGAGTTGGAATTTACTTGAAAGTGTGTGTTAATCTAGTTATATAGCTCCTGCTGAACCAGACTACAGAGTGCAATTAGCTGAATTTATCTTAAGAGAGAGGTGTATTAATTTGAATTGGACTAAGAAAGCTTTGAAATACCAGCAATTATGGAATAAAAATGGGAAATCTGTCTGAACTTTCCCCTAAACTGATGAAAGCCATGCCACATGCCAAAAGTCACTGTGGCCGTTACGTTAATCTTTTGAAAACTCGGGCAAAACTGTTAAGAAAGTGATTGCAAGCATCGAAACATTTTCTCTACAAAAGCAAAACAATTTGATTAGAAGCTACTCCAGGCAGTTAAATTTCCAACCCAAGTGAGTGGTTCACTTGAGTAGTCAGTCACAAATCTGGTTGTCCAAGGGCTCGTTAAATCCAAAACAGGAGTTCTGCCTCACCCGCCACCCACCACCCAGCCACAGTGGGGAAGACCGGATGCTTTCCAGGGTATTCCAGCCACACTGCACAAAGACCTGGAAGAGATCTTCGCCCAGCCCCAGACACTTGGATGACAGTCTTTGTGTGTGATAGAACGCCCTTGAGAAGCCATACGTCTGGGAAGGAAGGAGACGGCGCCACACAGCCCAGGTCTCCTGGGTGAATCGTTCGCGAAAGTTGGCCAGCAGGGGAGCAGGAGGGGAGCAAGTCCACACCCTTGATTTGGGGGAAGCTGGGGAACCTTGTGGGGCCTCCTAGTTGGTAATCACGCTGAAGCTGCACAAACCAAACACGGGAACATTCTCAGTCCTCTGCACCTCTTTCCTCCGAGACCCTTGGTAGCAGAGAAAGAGTTATCTACTCTCCTGAAGGCAAAATGTTCCAACCACCAAACACTTCCCTTTTCACCTACATACTCCATCATCTTAATCCAAAAGAAGTCCTTTTTGGCTGAACCGTTTTCGTCTACGAGGCTCTATTTCTAAATATTCCGAGGAGAATTTAGAGGCAGGCTCTGCCGGCACTAGGAGAATGTTGTGCAACCTTTTTAAGAAATTGAGTAACGGCACTGTTTGCTGTGCATGGTATTTATTGTCTATGCACATGGATAATGAAGCCCTCCCTCCGCTTTTTAATTGGTTGCACAATATCCCCCCAGCAGTATCTGTAGGCAGAAGACCGTTTCTTATGAGCTTTGCTTATGTATTTATACACTGCTCTTTCTTTTAGACGATGCAAATAAAAATTTTATTTGTGCTGCATGGATAGACAGAATAAATTATACACAGCTGTGAGATATCAGAATGTATTTTATGGAGTGATCTTGTTGACAAACCATAAAAGCAGGTCCTGAACGATGTGTACATTCGAGTCCTAGAAACCCAGGGGAAAAAAAATAGGACCTTATAAAATAGACAGTTTGCATACATTTTGTTTTTCCTAATATTTAGGCATCAACAAAACTCGGTTGCCTAGATAAAAAAATAGGAATAGCTTACAGTGAGGAGGGACTTTTGGCTTTTTGTCTATTGGGTGACCAGACACACTGCTGGCCAGTTTGATAAAATGGCCAGTTTTCCTTGGTCTCGTGGTGGAAAAAAAGGATATTAGATAGTTTGGTTCCTCACACAATTATCTTCTGCAATAACACGTGTGTTTGCTTTGCTTGTGTCCTCATCTGAGGTTTTCATCTTCAGACCTGACTGTGGCCGGTCAAGAGGGGACGTAGAAGACCCGATTCGGCCGGCAAGAAAGAATCTTCACAGGGATGGGTTCTAAGGTCTTGGAAAAAAACCAGTAATGAAGACCACCCCCCCACACACCCCCCGCCCGCAAAGTGACTTTGGATCTCTCCCCACCATGTGAGTCACCCAGAGCCTGGCTGCCCATGGCTCAGCCTCCTTTGCCTGCTTTGCTAAGGGAACAACTTTCCAATGGCCAACCAAGGGCTTCAGCTCCATAGAGGTGGAGACAGAGGCGGAGTTATGAGACAGAGAACAGCCATCTTGGAGCAGCAAAATCCGGCCCTGCGCTTGAGTTCTCACACCTCTGCTCTCCAGGCCTGCCCCTGAAGTCCTGTCTGCCCTCTGCAGGATGGGAAGCACATTCTCTCCCTTCTGGATTCTCACAGGGTTGAGGAAGCTCAATGCAGTCAAAGAGCTTTCAAAAAAGCTTATTGCATGAAGTCAGTTTAGGATGTCCAAATCCACGTTTCTAGACTTCCAGACGGTGTCTGACCAAACCACACTGACGGCACGAAAATGACCGTGGGCTATCGATCGTTAGAAAATGCCGGTTTTAGGAACTGGTGGGGATCCGCTCAGGCTGCCCCTGGGCCGCTGGGGAGGCAAACTCAGATGAGATTGCTAGTCAAGGTAAACCTTAAACATCACACCTGGAGTTCTGCCTTTCCCCTACGTGGACCTAAGAGAGAAGAATTGATCTGAGGCACTAAAAATAGGATTAAGATAAATATTCTTTTGAAAATCTAGCTGGGGGTGGGTGGGGTGGGGCAGAGAAAGGTCGAGGTGGCCATTACGAGCTGCGTAACAATCTGGGGACATGGGCTTAGGAAACTCGTAATGCATTTTCCTCAGCCCCAAATATGTGAGAGTTAAAAAAAAATTTATAGACCTGACTGAAGTGCTCCTTGCTGCAGGCAAATACAGTGGCAACATTCCCATAAAGCACAAATATATTTCCTTGGTTCAGATCCCTATCTGCAGCCTTACCGAATAATACTGTCACTCTTGCGTTTCATCTACAGACTCCCTGGATGGAAATTAGGAATGTGATTTTAAACCTGTTTTTCCCCAAGTTTATTTTATTTTTATTTGGGGGGAGGAAGAGAGACAAGAGAGGGAGAGAGAGAGAATCCCAAGCAGGCTCGACGCTGTCAGCGTGGAGCCCGATGCAGGGCTCAAACCCACAAACCGGGAGATCATGACCCGAGCTAAAACTGAAAGTTGGATGCTTAACTGACTAAGCCATCCAGGTGCCCCAGGAATGTGATTTTAAAACGACAGCCCAGGGATGCTCAAAAGAACCATGGCAAAAGTCAATCTGAAAAGAGTAATTTTAGATTTTAAGAATTTCAGGGAAAACCTGAAAAAGCTACTTTAGCCAGAGGATCAAGGGCAAATAAACAGTCCCGTCATGTTGGTGGCATATACGTTTCATAAGATGTGATAAAAATGACACTTTACCTCTGTAGTCTTGCTCTCCCAGACCCATGACCCCAGTCTGACCTGAGACACATGCCAAAAAAGGTGCATCCTACGATATACGTAACCAGCACACCCCGAAACTGTCCAGGTCATCAAAGACAAGCACTCTAAGAAACCTTCACAGCCAGGAGGAGCCCAAGGAGGCAGGATGACTAAATGTCATCTGGGGCCACATGCTGGGTGGGATGGAGAAACAGAAAAGGACGTGAGATAAAAAGTAAGGAAATCTGAAGGAAGTACGAAGTTCAGCTGAAAAGCTATCAATTTTGGTTCATT